CACTTTAGTGGTCTGGAGGTTGTCTGAATATCAATGTGTGTCTGTGATGAGCCACTTAACCAACAAGCCATTCTAAACAGCAATTATTTTTATGCAAACTGTTAAAATCATGCATTTCATTGAATTAATTTTGTCTGGAACTTGAGAGTTTGTTATTTTAAATCTTGTTTATGGTAAAAGAATGAAGGAATATGCCTCTCTTCCCTTTCCCCCAAAAAATTCCATTGTGATGAATGTGTGTGTGTGTGTGTGTGTGTGTGTATTTTTGTGGGCGGCGGCAGAATAACACCTTAGCTAACGCCAGCGAGCAGCGTTTGTTGACTTGTTTTTTAACAATAGCTGAAGAACAGACGAGTTTCTCTGAATATGTGCAGGCACTCACTCGCCGAGCAGAGAAAGTTAACACTGACCAACTGGACCACTTGACTTCAAACACCTGGCAGAGAAACCAATCGTGCAGAGTAAAAAGAAACTGAGGGTGCATAAATCTCTGGATGCCTTTAACTCTCCTACAGAAAACAACAGATGTCGACACTCCAAAGCAACCCAGAAAAGTCTAGCTGGAAGTTAAGCTTATGCTAACGTCTGCGGCTACGGTTAGCAGAGGACTAAACTATTAACATTTGCTCTCCATCTCTCGAATAGTTTAGCCTCTTGGCAACTGAAAAAGTCCTGAAATTGTTATCTATTGATTCATGTATGCACGTACAGTACCTCAGCAGGACTTTGACATTTATGTATTTCAATTGGAAGAATCTTTCGTGCCTGAGTTTTTATTTTATTCAGTCTGGATGATATGCAATTAAATGAATGTACGGTAGTTAACCACTTAGTTAAGTTGAGGAAAACTGTCTTGTTGAAAATCCTGTGTTTCTTTGTCCTCACACCTCGTCAATAGCTGTGACCATTGTCACGAGGATGTGTTTAATGTTTCCAACATGAAAAATGGATCCGAAAAACAGCCATTTCATCTACATGCCTAACACAAACTCTAACCGGAACCCTAAAACCAACATAGTGCTCACACACAGACTGAGTCTGACGTCACAAACTCCTCTTTTTGTGGAGTTGAGTTCATCGACAGACGATTACGGAGCTGAACAGTCGGAGCATGAGCCTCTCAGTGACTCATCCAGCAGAACAACTCTCTCGATGTCTCCTAACATGAAGAGTTGAAAAAGTGAATCCACTAAAAGCTCAAGTTATCATTTACACCTGATGTGTTACAGGAAGAGGGATGATGGTAACTCAGCATACAAACCGGATTCATCCTTTATTGCAGTCACGTTTCTGCATGTTCCCTCATGTTTCTGGTTAATTATTATTGCAGTCATTTAGCAAACGCTTTTATCCAAAGCGACTTACAATAAGTGAGTTCAACATAGGTATTCAAGAGAACTACTAGTCACCGGAAGTCATAAGTGCATCTCCTTGTTTACACAAGCATCTAAGAGCATGAACCACAGCAAAAGTACAGTGCAGAAACAAACTAATACCAAAAAGTTTCAAAAAGGTCAAAAGTTGTGTAACTACCTTTTGATCTTCCTTCAAGTTGAATATTGTTTCCTTTCGGTTTGTAATATGCCACGTTAACTCACTACAAGTCCAATTCCAGATTAATTCATTTAACGTTCATTCGTTTCTTAAGATGCACACTGCAACC